CCACACACCCCTAATGTAGCAAATCCTAATGAGTTTCTGCTATTGGGTGTGGCCTATTATGCTAATGAGTTTCTGCTATTGGGTGTGGCCTATTATGCTAATGAGTTCCTGCTGGGTGTGGCCAACTCAGGAGCCAGCCGGAACTCCGTTCCTGTGTGTTCCTGCCGAAAAATAGCCCTGCGACCTGTCAATCAGCATCTTCTGGTTGTCCCCGACCCAGGGATGTCCATCTTGCCTTGACCAGGGCCAGGGCTTTTTTGGCCTTGACCCATACCTGGTGGGATGAGCTCCCACATGAGATCAGGGCCCCACAGGACCTTTTACAGTTCCATAGGGCCTGCAAGACGGAGCTCTTTCGCCAGGCTTCTAGTTGAGGCAGCGGGCCTCCCCTTCAGCGGGTCAGATCTGTGTTTACCGTCGAGGAACCCCAATCTGGAAAACGTCATCTGTTGAGGCAATGATTAGCACATAGGAATTTAGTTAATTGATGTATTTTAATTGTTTTTAAGTTTTGGTATGTGGTAATTGATGGAACCTGAGCCTGCTACGTGGGGACGGCGGGATAAAAATCCAATAATAACAACAATAACAATAATAACTATAACAACAACAACATAAGTCATTTCCTCCAGGAGTGCACAGGAGCGGAGCTCCGGCAGTAAAGAGCCCAGGGGGCGGGCACATGCAACAAGCCCCACCCCCTGCTCCCAGCAGCCCTCAGTCAGAGCAAGAAGCAGCCAGGTAAGTTGCAGAGCTTCCCCCGCCCCCCCCCCAAGTCCAAAACAGTCCAGGGGCACCTTTAAGACCAAGTTTTATTCAGGTACAAGCTCTCCCTCCTCTGCGAGGGCAGATCTGCACGTCCCTCCCCTCCCCCCAGTAGCTAGCAATCCAAAACAGTCCAGTGGAGCCTGAACGGTGGGTGTTGCCTCCTGACACACTTCCGGTGATGTCAGGGGGTGTGGCATATGCAAATAAGTTATGCTAATGAGCTCCTGCACCTCTTTTTCTACGAAATGACCAATAACAACAACAACAACAATAATAACAACAATAATAACAACAACAATAATAACAACAATTTGAATCTGAAATGTAGTCTTAAAACTTTCCCTAAAACATGTTTTCTTTCTCCCAATAAAGACGTCATTTTTACTGCATTCTCATTTTGGTTACTTCCCTTTCCGTCAATGAGATAAGTAGAAGATACCTGTTGAGTCAGCATCTGGAACGGCCCCAGGGAATTAATTGTTTCTTCTGGCTCCCCTGCAGCAGCATGCCAGTCTGTCTTTTCCATCCCAAAGGTCTGGGCTATAAAAGCCAGTGGGGATAATGGGCAGAGCGTCACGTCGCCCTCTGGAGAGCCGCAGGGATGAAGATTCTGTCTCTTCCCGCCCTCCTCTTTTCACTCGTCTCCGTAAGCGAAGCCAAAAAGTTTCAGAGATGTGAAGTAACTACAACTATGAGAAAAGCTGGCTTGGATCTCTATTATGGCTACAGCCTGGAGAACTGTAAGTTTCGTTTCGCTTTTCTTGCAGCTTCACGTGCTCCTCCTACCATTCTGTTTTTTTTTAAATTTCCACAGCATGTCTGGATCAATGTTCCCTCTAAGCTGTGGAGTCTCGTGAGCAAAAACTCTGCTTTGTGAGCTACTGGCGTTAAAGTTGTGAGCGAGTGATTTGGCTACTGCATAAATGAGTTTGCTCTGGAGCCCCATCCTTCCTGAGCTACGACAAAAAATGTGTGAGCCGGAAGCTAAAAAACTGTGAGCTAGCTCACACCAACTCAGCTTAGAGGGAACACTGGTCTGGATGTACTTTCCAGGTGCTTCCTACAAGTGCTAGTACATGATGACTCTTTTCTCGGCCATTAGGGTTGAGACATCGGAGGAATGCATGCCCTTCAAGATAATAAATGCATTTTAGACTAGCCCGTTGTCAAAAGGTAGGGCACTGCCATGGGCATAGACTCCGTCAGGTCATATCTCTGAACCTTTGACTTGTCTTCCACTGAGAGATTCCATCCCATGCTTTCTCCTTGCACGGAGTTGGACTAGATGGCCCAGGAGGTCCCTTCCAACTCTATAGTTCTATGATTCTATGGTTCCTGTTCCATTATATGCATAGCATCCTGTACCAGGAATGGGTGGGAGGCTTGCTAAATTGGTAAAAGAGTGAATAAGCAGAAAATGGAAAAATCTGGTCCAAGAATTTGGGATTATGGGGTCAACAGGGACTGGTTTTAGAGGAAGCAGTTTTCTCTTAAAAATTTTTTTTTTTGGGGGAAGGGGTATTTTATATGTGCATGCATGTGTGCACCTGGAAGTCATGGGCGACCGCTGGTGAATGACCCCTACTGGGGGCCTGGAGGACATTCAGAGAGGTGGCTGAACAAAGCCTGCCCCCGCCTCCTGACAGCTGGTATATCCCCTTCATTATAACCTGTTTCTCTCTGTGTTTGTTGCAGGGATCTGTATGGCTTATTATGGAAGTAAATTCAACTCAGGAGCTGTAAGCGGCTCCAACAGACATGGTAGCCAGAACTATGGGATTTTTCAGATCAGCAGCCGTTGGTGGTGCTCCGATGGGAAAGGCAAAACGGCCAATGGATGCCGCATACCCTGCAGCAGTAAGTAACTTGTTACTATTGGCCTAACTAGCTGTAGGTCTGAAGATTCCCCAGCCATGTTGGTGGCATTTTAGATAGAGAGCGACAGTCCTTCCCCTTCTAATTACAGTTCTCCTCTCCAACACAGCCCCCCACCTGGTATCGTAAGACAATAAGACAATAAGAAAAGCCCTGCTGGATCAGACCAGTGGTCCATCTAGTCCAGTATCCTGTCTCACACAGTGGCTGACCAGTTCCTCCGGAGGTCCAATGAGAAGGCAGAGAGGCCGAGGCCTTCCCTTTATAAGCACATAAAAAGAGCCCTGCTGGATCAGACCTGTGGTGCATCTAGTCCAGCATCCTGCCTCACTCAGTGGCCAACCAGTTCCTCCGGAGGGCCAACAACAGGACACAGAGGACTTGGCCTTCCCCTGATGTAGCCTCCTGGCACTGGGATTCAGAGGCTGACTGCCTCTGAACGTGGAGGTTCCTCTTCTCTCTCCTCTTCTCAACTTATCTTCTTTCTCCAAACTTCCTCTCCAGGCACAGTCTCAACCGTGGCCCACCTACTCACCACTGTAGTTTGTACAGTCTAGAACCCATAGGTTCGGGCCATCTCCAGGGAAGCAGCTCAGAGCTATGCAACTTGATTAATCGTTTTAGCATCCTCAGTCTTTTCTTCTTAGTTTTCCAACTTCCCCTCCATTGGTGGCAATCCTACCAATGCTTTGGGCAGACCCATCTTGTCCCAAACGGCTGTAGCTTCCTGGATGCAAATGGGGGTGCAACATGTGCCCCTGCCACACGGGGGGAAAAAGCACCGGCAAAGTGCGGCTTTTTAAAGCCGCACCAAAAGAGACATGCGGCGGCAGGATCACATAGATCCCCTGAGCCGCCGCGCACTTTCTCCCCGGCACGATCAGATGCTGGGGGGAAGTCACTGAAAGGGGAGCGAGGCAGCCGAACTGCGCATGTCTGCACATGCGCAGTTCGGCCGGGAGCCTGGATTGCTCCGGACGACGGGTGCGGTGGCGATCCCACGGCCGCGGAATGCAGCGTTCCCGGTAAGTCCTCTTCTGGGGGTGGTTCTTTTTTACTGCGGGTTTTCGGCCTGACGGGCTGGATCTGGGACGGGTGCGCGCTACTTCCCAGATGTTGCGGTGAGATCGCGACCGTTTGCTGCGCCCCCGATCCGTCCCTCTCCTGGGCCAAAACCTTCCGTGTGACCAGGGCCATGGTATAGGCATTGATCCCTTTGTCTCACCTCTCACCAAAATTGTGCCCAGGTTGGGAGGGGTGGCCATACAGTTTCATCATATTGCCTTGTATGCTTGTATGCTCTAAGTTCTTCACATGCTTTCTCTTTGACATGGTTAGATTCGAGTCCAGTACCAGTACCAGTAGCAACTTAAGAGACCGTCAAGATTCTGGGGTATTAGCTAGGGATGAGCACGAATCTAAAAATCCTGGTTTGGTTTGGGGTGGTTCTGAACTGAACCCTGAACCGAACTGAGTCAAAAATGCCCGGACTGGACACAGCCGGGAGAAAGGGGTGGATTGCCCGGGAAGGATTAAATGGCTGCCATCCATTTTGCTTCCCCCACTTCAAAGCTGGGGGGAGCAATGCAGATGGGTTTAATGGCTGCCAGCCATTTAAACCTAACAGCTGACAGGCGGACCTGACCCATTGTTAGCCAATTCAGCCTAACAGCAAGGCGGGTGCGCCCATCCATTGTTAGGCTGAAATGGCCCAAACAGCTGAACCGAACTGGGCAAAAGTCCAGTAAATGTTCGGGGAAGGCGTTCAGGGGCTACGAAACAGGCCAACTTTGTGCCGAATTTTGGCTCGTGAACTGGTTTGTGTCCATCCCTAGTATTAGCTTTCAAGAGTCGAAACTCCCTTTCATCAGAGTATCTAATGAAGAGAGCTTTGACTCTCAAAATCTCTTAACTCCCCAAATCTTGCTGGTCTCTAAGGTGTTACTAGACTCGAATCTAGTGTTCTACTGCAGACCAATATGGCTACCCTCTGAAACGATCTTTGACACACTGTCCACACTGCCTGAATAACAAAAGGGTGATTCAGGCCCCAGTATTAGATCAGATGGCATTTTTGCTCATTTGATATAATGGCCACATCGCTCTGAATAACGCCAGTGCATTTCACGATCCCTTAGAGTTGTTATTGCATCTATTGTTGAGCTGCCAGTACGTAGCATAACACTTTGATGGCAATGGCATGTATCCAACCATACAATTCCTTCAACAGAACAGCATTTCTGTTTGCAGAAGAGTGGGGTGGAGATCTCTGTCAATTCTACCTCCCACTGAAGACCCCCCCTTTGCCCACTCTGCTCATCGTAAAGGTCTGCTGATTCTCAGTAACAAATCTGAGAGAATATCAGTGGGTTATAGCAACAGGGGAAGCAGGGAAGTCCCACTCTGTGAAATCAAAGGATGCTTGGACATATGACAATCTCTTTTTTAAAAAAGCACAAAACACCTCCCCCCAATTCAAGGGTCATTTCTCCCTTGTTCGAAAAATCCAGAATCTTTGCCTTTATTTATATGCATGAGGATTACTAGAGATACCTACAGATTATTCCCTTGCTAGATTTTTCCTCTAATTTGAGATGCTGTATCACTAGAAGTCTTTTGATTTGTGGAAAGGACTCGAATGGAATTTGGGTACTTCTGGAAGGTTGTACTTTGTTGGCCATCAAGTCACAGCAGACTTATGGTGACCCCCATAGGGTTTTCAAGGCAAAAGCCATTCAGAGGTGGTTTGCCATGGCCTGCTTCAGTGTAGTGACCCTGGAATTACTTGGTGTTCCCCCATCCAAGTACTAACCAGGGTTGACCCTTCTTAGCTTCCAAGATCTGAAGAGATCGGGGTAGCCTGGGCCATCCACGTCTGGACAGTGTTCCTCTGGTGTGTTTTAAAAAGCTGAAACAAACAAAAAATACAATTATTTGGTGAGGGGCTGTGGCTCAGTGGCATCTGCTTCACATGCAGAAGATCCCAGGTTCAATCCCCGGCCTCTCCAGTTAAAAAGGACCAGGCAGGAGGTGATGATGAAAGACCTCTGCCTGAAAGCCTGAAGAGCTGCAGCCAGTCTGAGTCGATAATACTGACTTTGATGGACCAAGAGGTCTGATTTGGTATAAAGCAGCTTCATCTGTGTCCCATAGATACAGAAAAGAAGGGGGGGGAACACCCTGGCTGTGATCACACATACTAAATAATCCACTTTCAATCCACTTTCAACACACTTTCAAATTGGATTATGCCGGACTGATTTCACACAAGAGCTGCACTGCGGTTGCTCCTCTCTTTGCCCTGGTCGATTTCCCACTCGAAACCGCGTGGCCGCATTTTGACCTGCAGCTTCGCCCGATTTCCCCTGTGGTTTTGTGATCCTGTTTTTTGAGGATCACGAAACCGCGGGGAAAATCAGGCGAAGCCGCAGGTCAAAATGCGGCCGCGTGGCTTCGAGTGGGAAATCGACCAATAGAAGCAGGGCAAAGGGAGGCGTGATCGCGGCGCAGCTC